GACTTCTGCATTACACCTACAAATCACGTGCCTGACATAAAGCTTATGATTGGATATTAACAGCATGTGAAGACAATATTTTCCCGCTATATTGGCGAACCGCAGGAAACTTTTCATGAAGTAGTACAATTTCGCAGGTTCTGCTTGAATGACAAAAAACTTGTATAAACACATTCAGAAACTTAATACTACCCGGGCGCAGCCGAATTATAGCATTACGTAATCAACACCAACCATGGTAACCGATATTAGTCAATATTAGTAAAGATAAACTAAGTTCACATCGGTGAAATGATTATTATCTGTTGGCGTGTCCATTTTACTGAGATTAGTTAGCAAAACTTTTTCCTTAAATTCGCAACTATTTCGTTAGCACACTAGTATTGCTATGCATAGATCCTGTACAAGTACATGTTTATCTTAGGCCGTATTTTTGTTGTGGGTGTGGTCTGATTAGGAAACTATTTTGTCAATAGCTATATTTAAATCAGATTGGACCTTGTAATCAAGCAAACAGTGCGTTAACTAGCAGTTAGTAGCAGCTGTACTAGCCTTTAGGCAACAGTATTTTCCACCATGTATCCATTATTATATTGTCAGCAAGGCTATGCATCGAGCAACTAAGATTGTTACTCGGGAGAAATTTGTATTGGAAAACATTATTACCTTAGAACTAAATTGTCTAAATCTTTACAGCTTGAAGACGTGTGGTAAAAAACGATACAGCAAAATAGATAACGGTTGAAGCTTAATCATAGTAACTGCAATATGGTTGGATTTCCATTGTACAAGAATTCTCAGAGATCCGGTGCAGACATACTGTGGACATCGCTACTGTAGATGCTGCTTTAAACACATGTTTGACAACAGGTAATTTGGGGGTTCATTTTCTAGTTGCGTGCGTCAATATTAATACGGTATCGTAATGTCTGCTTGCAGCTATAGCTTGTTTCTATGACAAATATACACGATGTGTATATTATCAAAAGCTACGAACTACCACTAAGGAGAACAATTATATTAAAATACTTATTTATATATTTCCAATTAAGAAATCGGAAATTTAAAAAAGAATTGTTGTTGTTTATAATTGGACACTGCATTATCTACGTTATCATTTCACACAATGCAAAATGTGTCAAATCATAGCGTTTTGCATGGCAAACTATTGTAGATGGCTTTACAAAAACAAAACTATACACAAACCACGCGAATAACATGTTCTGATGGCATATATTCGTCATAATAACCGTTCCACGCTGTACACTGGTAACATGGAGATATAGTTAGTGTCCATTGGCTTGCATGTAAGCGTCGTGTTAAAACCACTCCACCTTGTTCACTGGGTAACGTGGGGATTGCATATAAGCTGCCGGTGAATAGGGTAGATGTGAACATGGTTAGCTTGCATGTAAGCGTCGTGTTAAAATCACTCCACCTTGTTTACTGGGTAACGTGGGGATTGCATATAAGCTGCCGGTGAATAGGGTAGATGTGAACATGGTTAGCTTGCATGTAAGCGTCGTCTTAAAACCACTCCACCTTGTTTACTGGGTAACGTGGGGATTGCATATAAGCTGCCGGTGAATAGGGTAGATGTGAACATGGTTGGCTTGCATGTAAGCGTCGTGTTAAAACCACTCCACCTTGTTTACTGGGTAACGTGGGGATTGCATATAAGCTGCCGGTGAATAGGGTTGATGTGAACATGGTTGGCTTGCATGTAAGCGTCGTGTTAAAACCACTCCACCTTGTTTACTGGGTAACGTGGGGATTGTATATAAGCTGCCGATGAATAGGGTAGATGTGAACATGGTTGGCTTGCATGTGAGCGTCGTGTTAAAACCACTCCACCTTGTTTACTTAGTAACGTGGAAATAGCCTAGCGTACATGTAAGCTACCAATATTTAGTGTCCACCCAGGAATGTGTCCATTGGCTTGCATGTTAGCGGCGTGTTAAAACCATTCCACATTGTTTGCTGGTAACGTGCAGATATAATTATTATACTGGACTTGGTAGTCAGTAGCACCACTAACTATGACTTGTTCGATTGTTTCGATTAAATCAAGAGCATGACGCAACACGGATATAAATCTGTATTCCTCCCCATTAACCTGAAGGGTTTAAAATTCAAAATTGGCGTGCTTATCTAAACAATGAGTAGGTTTAGTGTCGCAATATTGATAAACAATCACAAAACGTAATTGCTAATTGTATCTTCACACAAGTAACTGTATATTGTTTACTAATTGTTCTTAATTTTCCAATGGGAAGGAATGCATAAAATGCCCGGCATGCGACGAAAACGAAAATTGCATTCTGAAAATTGGTGAGGTAAGTTGCTTACCATTGTACAACCGATATAATACATTAAAGGGTGGTGGTCGTCACGCAGAGCATGTTAAATTTCATGTTAATAATGCATTTTACACGCGTTGTGTACGTTGCTATATGAATCCCATATCTAATACGACGCGGCGCGACAACCACTACCCTTTAATAAATAAATAAATGAATAAATAAATATAAAAACAATGTATAATATATTAGTTTATTTAACATTTGACAGAGATAGAGTTTGTATTCGTTTATTTATAATTGATTTTTGCAGTTATTTTACAGATCGAGGAATCCGTAGGGAACTCAATACGATACAAGTAAATTGTCCTACAGATAAATGTGAATGGACAGGCAGCTATGAGGAATACGACATGGTAATACTAGTATTTTGGCTGAAGTATAATGAAACATGAACGTGCATTTATTTGCATTTCACAAAACGTATTTAAGTTTTCGAACGGGATAAATATGTTTACTATTATAGTCACATAAATGGATCATTTATGAAAGCATTTGTTTTGCCATTATGTATATCATGTACTAAGTCAATTATTACTTCTTCAGACTCACGAAGCAATGTGCCCATGGACATTAATAAACTGCATGAAACAAGGTTGCCAAGAGCTCGTCAGAAGAAACGATTTGGCAAATCATCTGGAGAAGCATTGTGTTATGAGACTTGACAGATGTATATACTGTCATACAGAATATGTATTCCGTGAACTACAGGTATGCCAATCGTAGCATGGAAAACAATACTTGTATTCAAATTCAATTGCATAGTCCAAATGCTTCTTTTTTTTTCTGTTTCTTTCAGGGTCATCGCGATGTATGCTCGCAATTTCCGGTGACTTGTTCATATTGTGAAAGAGATGGCATTCCAAGAGGAAAGGTGAATAGACCTTAATGATTTCTTGTTCTCATTCAGTAACGAAAAAACGAACGAACGAACAAATGCAGATCTTCACCATAGCTTCAGCAACTTTTATCCATGACTTTTTGCTGAAAATGTCCCGGGCAAATTTTCATAA